GGCACAGGTACCCACGGTGACGGGGGGCAGACATCCCGCACGGTGGCCCTGGATCCTGGCCAGCAGTCGCCCCCCTCGCCACCTGGGTCATCTCAGCCCCCCTCGCCCTCCGGCCCCCGGAGCAGGGCTGCAGACCCCCGGGGTCCTGGAGGGACCCACCTTGCGGTAGACGGCCCCGATGACGGCGGTCTTGATCCGCATGCCGCTGACGAAGCAGATGTGGAAGTACTGGTGCAGGACCAGCGTCTGCAGGCAGGCGCTCACGAACAGCAGCACCGTGTACAGGTAGCCCTGCCAGTCGGGGGCCTGGGTGTCGTTCACGAAGTTGATGAGCAGCCTGCGGGGTGGGGGGGGGGACAGCCCTGAGTGACAGAGCGGGACCCAGGGAGTGGGACCCAGGGAGCGGGACCCAGGGAGCGGGACCCAGGGAGCGGGACCCAGGGAGCGGGACCCAGGGAGCGGGACCCAGGGAGCGGGAAGACGCCTCCAGCAACTTTCAAGCCAGGCGAGGGGGGCAGACAGGTCAGTCCAGGGTGCACACAGGGCCCCTGGTGATGGGCTGCAGGGCGGCCGGCCTCTCCCAATGCAGCCCCTGCCCTGGGGTCCTCGCACTGTTCTGCCCACCCCCAGAGAGTCACCCAAAGGGGACCAACCAGAGGACAAAGTGACCAAGGTAAAGAGGGACAGAGAAGGAACCAGAGGCCCCGGGGAGACAGAGGAGGGGAGAAGGGACCTCGCCCTGACTTCTAGGTGACATRGGCTCGTGGGCTGTGTCCCAGGCCCTCCCCACCCTGGGCTCGGGGAGTCTGTCTGACCACAGTGCCTTAGCTCAGCTATTCAGCCAAGCAGGAAGCAAAGCCGGGACAGACGGGGACGTGGTGTGGGTCCCCCCAGCCTGAGGGACACTAGGGTCCTCAGTACGGCAGCGAGAGGTCAGGCCAGGAGGCCGGGGGGCGGGGAGGGAGAGGACTCTTACTTCAGGATCTCGGGGCCAGCGAACATCATGAGGTCGTGGATGGCCTTGAAGAGGAAGCTCATGAGGAAGTAGGGCCCGAAGGTCTTGTACAGCACCTTGAACAGGGACGGGGCCCGCTCCCGCTGCGGGGACTTGACAATCAAGGCCTCGGCCTCCTCGTTCACRTCCACCTTGGAGCCCCCCGGGGCCTTGGCGGGGTCCTTGGTGGAGGAGTACGCGACCTTCACGGGCTGCCTGCAACACAAGTGGGGTCAAGGGGCGGAGGGGCCAGCGGGGACGCAGCCCAGGCCCYGGGGAGGGACAGCTTTGCACGGGGGGCAGCGGGGGAGTGGACATGGACTCGGGTCCCGACCCTGGCTTGGCCACCAGCCCTCTGAGGGACATCAGGAAGTCCCCTGACCTCTCCAGGCCTCAGTTGCTTCGACTATAAAATGRGGACAGAGGCAGAAGCCACCTCCTATGGCTGTGAAAACTGAACGAGCCACTGGACGTGAGGCTTAGAGGACCGCCAGCCCCCAGCTGGCCCACGCAGGCCCCAGGGTCCCCGTCAGAACCCCAGACCTGGAAAACCCAAAGCCCTGCCACAGAACCATGGAGACTCACACATCCCAGCTCCAGGACTGACCCCAAGACCAGGCCTCCAGACAAGCAGAGGGACGGGCACCCAGAGATCGCAGCAGCAGAACCCCGAGTCCAGCCAGGAAGCTCCGGACCTTTGGCAAGACCACCCACTGGGAACGGGACAGTCTCTTCCAAACACGGTATCAGGGACAGGACAGCCACGTACAAAGGAATGACTATGGACGCCGGCCTTGCTCTGCCCACAAAAACCAACTCGGCACGGAGCGGCCAGCAACGCAGAGCTGGCGGTCTGTACACCTCAGGAGGAACCTGACCTTGAACTCGGCAAGAGAGTCCGCAGCCGTCGTCATCCCAAAGCACAAGCGACCAAAGGAAAAACAGTGTCAGAACTTCAACGGGAAACACTCCTGTGYCTCAAAAGACACTCGGGAGAGTTAAAAGGAGAACCAGAGGACGGGAGGAAGGGCCTGCGCCGGACACCGGGCAAGGCTCCTGTGTCCAGAACGCACACAGCACCCGAGTCCTGTGACACAGCACCCTGCTTCAAAGACGGGCAAAGGACCCATAAAGAACCCTCCAAAGAAGAGTGGCCAATTGTCCCAAACCCCACATCCACTGTTTTCTCCTAAAASTACACATTCATGAAAGAGTTTAGTCTATAAATTAGGCACAGTGAAAGATTAACGACTAATAAAACAGAACAATGACAACAGACTTTAATAAAATGTGTGTCAACGTGGCCTCTCTCAAAATATCTTACTGGAGTCTCCTTGAGATGGTGCGAGATGACACAATGCCCGTGTGATAAGATGAAGGGAGGTAAATGACACAGGCATTGGGACCCAGCCTTAGGCTACTACCTAAGGATTACCTGAACACAAGCACTGTCGGTCTGATAATCAAGATGGCTACTAAATGACTACCGAGAGGGTAGCGTATACACTGTGGACACATTAGAAAAAGGAATCATTCACATCCAAGGCAAGGGAATGGGATGGTGCATTGACAGAGCACCATTTAAAACTTATGAACTGTTTATTTTTGGAAGTTCTGATTTAATATTTCCAGATCACAGTTGACCAGAGGGAACAAAACCATAGAAAGTGAAACTGTGGATAWGGGGAAATAACTATACTTATTAGTTTTTTTTAGGACTGCAACTATTACACAAATCAAAAAAGGCTGTATTTTGCTCAGGACTTCACCGAGTGTTGGTCAGCGCTCTGTAAAATCTCATCTCTGAGGTGAGGATGCTTCCAGTCATCCTCAAACAACACAATCTCCCAACACCAAGGGGCCAGTTGGGATTTTAGCTGGTGTAACAGTTATACCCTGAAATACACGTCACCTGACTGTAAATTCCTTGCCCTTAATTCCTACTTCAAGTCTGGGGAAAGCATATTGATTTTTTTTAAGAATCAGATAGGCTGGTAGGTTATTCAAGTGTTTGCAGATTTTTGGTGCCCAAGGAAGATTCTGGAATAAATCCCCTGCAGATAAGGAGGAGTGGCTATGGTCCTTTTTGTCCGATTTCTGTCACTGAGCATAAGGATTCTGCCRTTCAGCTGTGTTGTTTGTGGTATGTATCCACGGTCCACTCCTGGGTGCTGCTTAGGAGCCCACTGGTGGGGGCACCGTGGTCTGCACATCTATCCACCAGCGGGTGGCTCAGCTTGAGCCACCACAGACAGGCGGCCTCAGGTCTGTACGTGTCTTTAGGAGTTTCCAGGCCTCTTGGGTGTCTGCCTGGGAGCRGAACGGCTGGCGGCAGGTGACTTCTTTTTGAACACCGCTCAACTCTTTCCAGAGCCRTCAAACCCTCCTGCACCCGTGCCAACCGTAACCACCATCCAAGACAGCTCCAAGCTACGGTGGCCCCGGGCCGCGCAGAACCCACAGCCACCTCACCCGAACCAGCGAAGCCTGGATTTTCAAACCCAAAGGTAGGAGCCGGGAGGCAGCTCAGACCAGGCCTCTGAGAGGAGCAAGAGGGGCCAGGAAGCGGAGGCCGACCCTCCCGCCCACCACSCCCTCGCTGTTTCTCAAAGACCCGGGACACCTGCAGCCCAGACCCATGCGGGGAGGCACCCTCCTCTGGTTAACGAAGACACCTGGACGTGAGAGGCCGTGCCGAGGACGGCAGCCCAAGGGGACACACGTCCTCCCCACCCTCCACATCCTCAGCAGCGGCAGGGCACATCCGGCTCCCCTTCAGGGTAAAACACAAGTGACCTCTCCCCAAGCGGAGCACCCTGAGGGCTCTGCCCCTGGGGGACCCGCCTCCGAGCCCCAGGAGCCCATCCCCACCTCGACCTCCCGGGCAGGACGGACGCCTCCAGCCCCGATGGAGAAACACCCGGAGCTCACCCAGGCCTGGGACGCGGCTTGTCAGATGACACCCGCGACTGCTCGCCAGACACTCRGAGGACAGCACCGAGGCTCAGAGCGAAGGCGCCCCCTGTCCCCACCTCTGCTCTGGTTCCCCGTCTCCTCCAGGGCAGCCCCGGGGTTGTCATAAACCAGAACTCAGGCCACACCACCGTCCTGCAAAGCTGTCCTCTCACCACACCTGGAGCCAGCGCCTCCTACCTTGTCTCCTCCCGCCCCCACCCCAGCCCCCCCCCTGCTCAAGCCGCATGGCCCCCTGGTTCCTCCCCAGGGGCCTTGGGACTTTTGCACGGGCTGCTTCCTCCAGCGGGAAGGCCGTTCTCCTGGATGCACACAGGACACGCTTCCTCCTTTGAAAAGAGTCTCCACTGGAACGTCACCTTCTCAGAGAGGCCATCCTTGACCACCGGCTCTAACACAGTCCACGGGACGCTCTCGCCCTCACCTCACCTTAATCCCACCCGACACTGGCGCTCAAAGCCACGATCTCAACTCCCCACCTGCCTCATCACGCCKCGGGCAAAGGGCACCAAACCTGGAGCACRCCCGTCCTGCTCTGGCCCCTGAGCCCGGGCCTCGCCTGCCCTGTCCCCTGTATCTGCTGCGTGGATCCAGTGAGGGCCAGACAGAGGCAGAGCTGCTGGTGCCGGGCCACCCTGCTCCCCAGGGTCACCCCACAGGCTGGACCCACCCCAACGGCAGGAACGCACGGGAGCACACCAGGGCTTGGAGACAGGCCACACCACTGCGGACTCGGGAAGAGAGTCACACGGCTCCGCTGTGCCACCAAGAGCCACTCGGCAGCGGGACAGGCCCCGACTCTCTTTTCCACCCAAACCGCCTCTGCTCCCCCGAAAGGCCCCAGCGCACTCGGCGGACAGTGGCCCGGGGAAAGGAAGCCACCAGAGGCCACGGGGCCGGGCACAGTGGCAGAGGRAGGTGATGGGCCCCCGGGGGTGACAGGAGCTGCACTTACTTCCTGGACTTGGCAAACTCCTTCCTCCAGTTCTTCTCCAGCACGGGCACCACTTGTGCGGACGTGTCCTCCTTGTTCAGGGACCAGAGGTCACTGGCCTCCAGGGGCTGGCGGTAGCCCCGGATCATCAACCTGGGGCCAAGACACAAAGGTGGACAGTGTGGAAGGGGGGCGACAGAGGGCGGCGGGTCCCACTCCATGCCCCCAGGGCCCCTCCATGACAGCCGCAGGCAGCTGACCACTGGCGAGAGCCAAACTGATGGACACAGGGCAGATTACGGAACTGCAGTGAAGGCCATCAGGTGGCCCRGGGAAAGTGGCCTCATCTTTACTGAGACACGAACAGAATGATCAGGAGAGAAACGTCAGGGTGATGCTGACTGACCGCACAGGTGCAGATTCCAAAAGGCCACGACAGGGAAACACTGTGGTCGTGGAGGGATGAGCTCATCGAGTTTTATCCTTTATCCAAAATGCGTGGGAGGGGAGGCGCTGCGGATTCCAGACTTTGGAGCACGTGCTCATGAATATGTGAGCRGCTGGGAGGGGCCCAAGTCGGAGCTCGAGGTTCATGGGTTCCCAGATCCACCTTCTCCACAGCCCGGGGCGACTCCCCGCAGTGTTTTTGGGTGCCCTGGGTTTCGACTGTGACCTGTCACCCGAGGCCCGGGGTGGAATCTCCCACTGGTGGCCTCACAGTCGGGCTCAGACAGTTTTGGATTTCAGATTCCAGATTGGGGCTTGGTCGGTCCTGGCCTAAGTGTCTGAGGACTTTCAGGATAAAACGCGAAACCAGGGACTGGGGGTGTGGCTCAGAGCACTTGCCTCGCCTGCGGGGGGCSCTGGGGACATTGGGGCACTGGGTTCGATCCTCAGCACCACATAAATAYATAAAATAAAATAAAATCCACCTACAACTGAAAATTAAAAAAGAAAAGTGGACCYAGGATTTTCACCTTTTAGAAAACAATCTCAACGTTACAGAAAGATCCCAGGAACCGGACAAAGAATTCACCTCGTTCACCACCTCGGTGCCACGGTTCCGCCTCTGTCCGTCTCTACACAATGTGCTAGACACCCCAAACCGCCTTCGCTCCCCGAAAGGCTCTGGCCCAGGGAAGGCCCCGCAGCCCAAGCTGCAGCCCAGGGAAAGGGAGCCACGTCCCCAGGGCGGCAGCTCGAGGCCTGCGTGTCTCTCACACTCGGCTTCGTGAACCTGGGACGGTCAGCGCCCGGCGCAGGAAGACTTGGGACAGGAGCCRAGCCGAGGGACGCCTTCATGGGTCCCTTCCCCTCCGCCCGCCCCGGGCCTGGGGCGCTGGCCTTACCCCGTGATCCACCAGAAGGTGATCCTGGACAGGAAGGAGGCGCTGGATTCCGGGCACGGGTTCTGGAGGAGAGAGAGCATGGCGGGGGGAGAGGGAGGTGAGCATCGCACCTTCCATCTCGGCCAGAGCCGGGCGAAGAGCAGCGAGCAGACCGTCTGCTTCAAGGGACCAGCGTCCACTCCCAGGCCGCTCTGCGTCTCACGGATTCCGTGCTTGGGCCCCAGGAGTCAGAGACCCACGGCTGCTCCTCCTGCTTCACCGGCCAATGTCCCCAAGGGTCCACCTCCAGGCACAGGGGCCGCAGCGCCAGCCTGCCTGTCCTGCCACCCAGGACAGCCTGAACCATGGGACTCACTCAGCCAGTGCTTCCTGCCTGACCACCTACTAAGTGCTCTCCARAGAACTGGAGCCCTGCCTTATCTCGTATCCCACAACCAACACATGGACTGGTGTCACGATTGTCCCCCAGTGTATTTGTGCATTCATCGAGCAGGTACTTACTGAGCATGAGCACCTACTACGTGTCCAATGATCTACAAAGAGCTAAACACTTGCATAATTTTATATCCCCCTGAATGTGGCAATACTATCATCTCCACTTCATCCAGCCAGCCAGCAAACATTTCCTGAGCACCTACTATGTGCTGAGCCCCATAAATGAAACTAAACAGAGATGTCACCCCCGTCTTCATGACACTGGGCACCTACAGTGATAACAAACACTGCCGACCTCCACCACCAGCTGGCTCTGCCCCGAGAGCTTCACACAATGACCTCACTCCGTCTTCACAACCACCTACAGCACAGGGATCCTCCTGGTTTGCAGTTAGGGCTTAGCAGGACGGAGGGGAAGGCTTTTCCCAAGGTTCACGGTGGTGGAGCCGGGACGTGAGCCCCAAGTCGTCAGGCTCCAAGGGAAACAGGAGTCAAGTGATCACAAACAGCAACTGAATCTAATTCATGACGGGGGCCTCAAGGGCAGGTCAGTACCACCAACGAGCCCATGCAAGGGGACAGGGGCCAGTCTGGTGTGCCAGGGTCCCAGAGGGMTTCCCCGAGGAAGACGGTCTAAGTGGCATCTGAAGAGCAAGTGAGACAAGTAAAACCAGAGGAAAGGCCAGCCCTGCCCGGCAGAGAGCAGTATATGCAAAGGCCCCGTGGCAGACGGAGGCAGAGCAGACTCCAGGGGCAAAGACRGGGTCTATGGTGGAGGCTGTCATTCTGTCCACACTGGGGCCACATGAGGAATGSTGGCTTCCGTCTTAAGGGCCATGGGGAATCCCCGAGAGGCTCCAAGCAGCTGCCCAAGGATCTCTTCCCAGAGGTTCTGTTGATGCTGCTCCCCAGTTAGACAGGGGGCCGACAAGGACAGGGACATCAGCTCAGAGCCCCTGGGGCTGCCGAGGCGGCTCTCGCCGGAGGCACGTCCAGGGCTGCGTCCTGAAACACAAGCTCTGGTGGAAGAAGGTGGGGGTCACCAGGCAGTGACGAGGCCTTCAGCAGGGCCACCACCCAACGGCCTCTCCTCCTGCAGACGAGGCCTGCGGGAGGTGGCTACACGACGGCACACCACAGCCACGTGCTGGCCGCCAGGCAGTGCTCCTCCAAGCCCTGCCCCTGCCTTCCAGCCCTGGGCACTCCGACTGGGGGGGGGGCGGGCACCAGGCGTCCAAGGGTTGTTTTGGTCTCAACCTGCAGCCTCCTGGGGGCAACCTCACCACGGGTCAGGGAACGGCGGGGTAAGCCCAGCACATCTCGCTGTAGCTCAGAGGTTAACTGGGCTCAATCCCCCGTACAAAAAATTACACACACACACACACACAAACACACACACACACACGTATATAACTGGTATTTTTTAACCTGATAATGGTTTGACAATTATATTTTTAAAAATCTTTATCATTCAGATATTGTCATTAGGGAAAGGTACATGGAAGCTCTAATATTTTCACAACTTTTTGGAAACAAACTATTTCAAACTTCAAAGTTGTTAGAAATAGCCGGGGACACTGGTGCACCCCTGTAATCTCAGCATCTTGAGAGGCTGAGGCAGGAGGATCGCCAGSTGGAGGTTACTCTCAGCAACTTAGCAAGGCCTTTAGCAACCAACCCAGTGAGACCCCGTCTCAAAAGGAAAAAGATAAAATTTAGAAAGGGATTGGGGAGGGAGCTCAGTAGTCCAATCCCCAATACTGCAAAAAAAAAATTATTAAACACAAAAACTGATCCACCTCGTCTGGCAATGCCCACGGACGTGTTTGCACAGGTGACATGGGGTAAAGTCCACACTGGTGACTTTACGTGCTACATGCAAAGTGCCTCCAGGAATCCACACAGCCTGGCTGGGGGGTCGGGGAGGCTCCGGCCCTGGCCGTCCACCGCATCTCCTGGGGAGTGTGCCAGGGCAGGTGCCCAGGGCCTCTGGGTGGCCCTGGCATGAGTGGACCAGCCAACTAGGCTGCTGGTCCACAGACCTCACTCTAAACCAGCCTCGGGCTGGGGAGCCTGGAGGACCTGGGTTCGAATCCCGGCTCTGCTCTACTCCAGCTGAGTGGCCCTGGGCCAGTCCCGTAGCCTCAAAGCCTGGACTTGTGCGTTGGAAAGCGGGATCCTCCCAGGGCTGCCAGGAGGGCTGAGGTCGTCCTGGGGCTGGGTCAGAAGCTGGAACTTTCCCAGCCAAAGTGGCTGTTACTCATGGCGGAGGCGGAGGCTGAGGCTGGCCCTGTCGGCGGGTGGAAAGAATTTCCTGAGGCCTGGATTCTCCTCTGGAAGAGCACAGCGGGTTACCAGGATGGACCGCGGATCCACCTTAGCGTGTCCGGGTTCCACCTGCAGAACRCCCAGGTGCTGCTGGCAGAGGGGCGGAGGCTGGGGCGCAGCTGTGACCCCTCGTTTATGGTCAGACAAATATTTGGGGAGCGCCTGCTGATACACCAGGGTGAGGGCTCAGCGCTGGGGACAGGGGGTGAAGGAGACGTCAAGGCCCCGCCCCAAGCAGCTCCCCGTGCCCGGGGGAGGGGGGCRTGGACAGTCAGCAAACCAAGGTGCAGATAACTGCAGAACCATTGGGGAGAGACGCCATGGGGGGGGGGCAGCTGGGGGAGGGGGAGGGGGGAAGCAGCAGGCCGCGCGGGGCCAGCAGGGACAGTCAGGTCCAGCTCTGCCCGTCACCAGCTGTGGGACCCTGGGCAAGCTCCTTAATGGTGAAGAGGTAAGATCTCCTGAGCCTTGGGACGGGGGCTGGCCGAGTGACAGCTCCAGAAACGGGTTTTAAAACCAATCTCGAGGACTTCTGCGTCCATCGAACTCCTATCAGACRCACACGATCCTCCTCTGTGTGTGGATCAGTAAAACCAGAGGGGAGGAGACCCAATGGCTTCCATCTATTGTAGACACACTAAGCTCCCTATCCGGTGGCTTAGACTGGGTTGGGGCTGGGGGGGGAGCTAAAAGCAGATCAGAACCAGAAAGGTGCGTGGGGACCCAGGGAATTTGAAGCTCGGCCAGAATGCGACAGACATCGCCCAAGTCCCCAAACTGCCCCGTGCAAGGTCACTATGGCCCACAGGCTGGCTATTTCAATAAAGTTTTATTGGAACACAACCATGTCCGTTCCTTCATCCATTGTCTGTGGCTGCACCTCACCAGGCCCTAAGGCCCGGGGTGAAGCCAGGCCCCCATGGATGATCTTCTCCCTCCAAAGCCATCTTCTTTATCCTCGCATGGCCGTGGGGGCTCAATGCCACCTGTTCTCAGCACCACGACCCCCGGGTCCTGTGGACACAGACCCTCATTCCAGCTGGGGGTGTCCCAGGTGCTGGAAGCCACCTACAGGTCAGCCCATGGCTGCTGGCTCACATGTCCCAGAGCTGCCCCTGTCCCCTGCTGGGACCCCACGTGTGGATTCTCAGGTGACCGAGGTTCAGGCGCAGGGGCAGAGCCCAGCAGCGCYACCTGTCCTCCTCGCTGTCAGGGARGGAGACGTATCAGCCTGGGAGCTGTCTCCGGGAGCCCCCCGTCTGCCGTGCAAAGCCTGAGTCGACACGCAGGCCGGCTGGACTCGCGAAGCGGCCAAGATGGCCAGAGAGACAGGAGGGGACACAGGCCGGGCCAGGACCCACGGCACCGCGTCCGGGGGAAGCGCTGAGGACTTCCTAATGGGGCTCGTTAGAGGGGACAGACCAAGGGGTCACCTGGGGGCTTCCCGGCCCTGGACAGAGCTGCAGCACGTCCACCAGGGTGGGACGACGGGGACCTATGAACTGGCCCCTCGTCACCTAGAGAGGAAGACCACTCAGACGAGCCCGGCTGAAGGCAGGGGCAGGGCAGGCCTGACCTGCACAGACCCAGAGGGACCAGGGACTCAGCACTGGCGTGGGCTKCGTGTTTCCACGAGGCGACTTGGCCTGAACCCTGGGGTTGAAACCAACTTGGTCCAAAAGCCCCAAACGCTGATTCCTTGAGAACTGGTCACGAATGACCTTGCAGGGGGCAGTTTGGGGACCTGGGYGGTGCCTGTCGCATTCTGGTCCATGCATCAGAAATTCCCTGGGTCCCCATGCACCTTTCWGGTTTTGATCTGCTTTTTGTGCCCACCTGGCTCTTTGCAGGTGGCTCGGAGATGCCCGCAGCTCGAAGTGCTGGAAGAGGCCAGGAGGCCGAGAGCCACGGTTCTCAAAGGCACCRGCCCCCAGCAGTACCTGGGAACGAGTTATAAATGCCTGGACACCACCCGGACCTCTGGTATCAGAAACTGTGGGGGTGGGACCCGGCCAGCTGTGTCCTCCAGGCCACATTGCCACATGYTCAACTCACCACTCTGACCCTCTGTGTCTTCATCTCATTATCCTGCCTCACTGGGTTGCTGACAGGATTAACCCAAGTAATCAACAGTGTGCGGAGCTGCTCTCCTTACGACCTGTTGGAACCACCTAAACATCAGGCCACCAGAGAACTTTCTAGCACAACGTGAACACTGGGAATCTGTTTACGCCGCTGCCCGCGAGGTGTCTGAACCCCCTCCCCGCCCAGGCCCTCTACTCTCTCCCACCGGGTCCTTCTCCCATGCCCCTWCCCCCAACCCCCAAGCTGAGTTGGGGACCCCTGGGCAGACCCGAGTCCCTGGCACCGCGTCCCTCAAAGCCCCCGCTGCCCGTCCCATAGCTGCTCCCGCTCCGCCCACGTGTGCCCAGCTCCRCCCTGGCACCGCGGTGAATCACACAGGACCACAAGGACGGGAGGAAAGCATCCACGTTGCGTGGCCAGATGTGGTGAGGCCTGGCTGTGATCCYAGTGACTCGGGAGGCTGAGGCAAGAGGATCGCCAAATTCAAGGCCAGCCTCCGCAACTTAGCAAGACCCTGCCTCAAAATGAATAAATAAATAAAAAGGGCTGGGGATGTGGCTGCGTGGTAGAGCGTCCCTGGGTTGAGTCCCCAGGACCAAACAATAAAATAAACGGGTTTCCTTGATCAGCAGCCCCAGGTCAGACCTCTGGGGCGGGCGGGTGGTGGACACAGGTCACAGAGGGACACGAGGAGACCTTCCAGGCCAGGGGACGGGGCCTCCAGGCAGGGGCTCACGTCACTGGTCACACAGGAACTGGAGACTGGAAGTCTCACCGCAGTTAAGTTTTACTTCGTGGAAAACAGACAGTGACAGCCGCCCGACTCTGGCTAGTGATTTGCAGGGGACTGGGTGTGGGTGACGGATGCCAATGTCCCTCAATGCAAGTCTCCCACGTGCAGGGCATTAGCAGTGGGCCAGCTGCACAGAGAGACAGGGACRGGACAGCAGGTCAGCGGAACAGCAGCTGCCACTCTCGGTGCTGGACGCGGCTGCTCCCGGTGCTCTGGGTGGGACGCAGGTGGGACAGCGTCCGGTACCGTGGGGACAGACAGACGTCTCCTGCTCCACAGGCCCGGTGGCTCCCGGCACATGCTCTGAACCACCAGGGAAGCCGGTCACCACGAGAGTCTGACCAGTGGGGTCTGTGCGGGGCCGGAGGCCAGACCTCTCACAAGCTGATCTGGGGGACCCCGTCCCCTCCCCTCACCCACAGCGGAGGCCGGGGTGGGCAGGAGCCAGGAAAGCCCCGGAAGGCTCCCTGTGCCACACCCGGCTCCCGAAGCCCAGGCGGCCAGGGCCGGGGACGGAGGGGAGGAGCCCCACTGGGAAGCCAGGACAGAAATAGACGCTGAGTCACAGAGTGGGCCCAGGGCCCACGGGGGGACGGCCACTGGGTGACTCAGCATGTAGCGGCCTGGCCAGCCCCACCCCGCCCRGCCTCCCTGGGGACACGCCATGGCCGCGGCAGCTCTGAGTGTGGGAGGGGGCTGGGGGCTGGGGGCTGGGTGCCTCCCACCCTGGCTTGGGCCTGAGGGTCATGGGGACATGAACATGGGACAGTGTCCTCAGGACACGGGCCTCAGCTCTGGGGAGGCCGTGAAGCCTGTGCCTTCCAAAGGTGGGCAGACAGTACCCGCTGCCCGGCAGTGAGGCCCCTTCCCCACACCAGGGCAACCTCGACCACCGAGGGACACCCTGCGACTCGGGGTCCCTCTGGAGACCAGCCGCTGTGCCCCGAGAGGCCCAGCCACGAGAGACCACCTGGGTGCAGGCCCAGGGGACGCCCCACCAGCTCCACCCGACGCCTGGCTGCGGAAGCACCRACCCGAGGTCCAGCCACCGTCTGACCACGGATGCCGGAGAGGATGACGGGAGCCACCCAGCGGAGCTCCGTCAACCCCCAGGACCGTGGAAAACGGCCACTCACAGGCTGGTTGTCAATGGAGAGACAGCAGTCACCCGTATGTCCGTCCCAGGACCCCCGACACACGCTCTGAGACGCTGACGTCCCTGACACGTGTGTTAAGAGCATCCTTCAGTGTGACCTTCGCACGCCTCTCCACGTGCTTGGCTCTCAGATGGCGCAGCACCCGACACGGGACCCTGCTCTGCAGCCCTGCTGGACTGTTCAGGCACAGAGGACCGCGGCGGCCGTGCCAGGCAGCGATGCCCACGCACCAGGCACCAGCAGGATCCGCACTGACCCCCAYGGCAGCCCCAAACCCTTCCCCAGGAGGCTCCCAGGACGCCCCACTGCTCCGGGAAGTCGGAGGGTCAGGGGCGCCCCACGGCCGCCAGCCAGACCCCAGGACTTGAGGTCAGCGCAGCTTGACRTGACCCTGCTCCATACACTGGATGCCCGAGTGATGGGGCCGCGGGGCCGCGGGGACACAGGGCCGCCTGGCCACACACACTCAGCACACAGACCAGCTGGCCATGTGCCCCGCACGGGGAGAAGCCACATGTGCTCGCTGCCTCCCTGAAGGTCACACACGCCAACCACAAGGACCCAACCACATGCACACCCAAGCCCTACACGCACACGCAAACGCACGATCTTACACAGACAGGTGAGCCCACGGCAGCCACCCACGCCTGCTCATGTCCCCAGCCCTCGCCCCGGAGCGGGCGGCTTCGAAGGCCCTGGGACGCGGGCTCCCTCCGCCCCACGGTGTCGGCTCCTCCAGGGCGCCCCAGCCTGACGTCACCCAGTCCTCCAGAGGCTCGGGAGGMCCCAGCATCTGTGAGGTTAGCATCCCCAACCCCTGCTCACGCTCCACGTAGCCAGGCCAGGCAGGAAGAGGACAGGCTCAGCAGCGGCCACCCTCGCCCCCAAACAGACCTCCTCCAAGCACAGCCCGCCCCGTCCCTGCCACCGCCTGGTCACGGGTGCAGCGGGAGGCTGAGGCCACACGTCCCTCTGCGGGCCACCCGTCCCGGGGGCTGAGGGCTGAGGACCAGGGCCTGGGACGTCCGCTGGTGTGAGCTCCCGGGCCCGCGCGTCCTGGTGGCACTTACGGGGTCGTTGATGGTCTCGGAGAACAGGGGCGCGCGGTCCAAGACGCAGGACAGCACTAGCTGGGCCAGCACGAGGGCCAAGTAGATGTAGAAAGTCGTGTCCCGGAAYCGGTCCACCTGGGCGTCCTGCGCGGCAGACAGGGGGCAGGGAGAAAGGTCACTTCCAGGAGCGCCTGGGAAGCCGAGCTCGGCCTCCAGAGCTCACGTTAAAGCCACGTCCCCAGGGTCCTGTGGTCACGGTATTTGGAGGTGGGACCCCCCACCCCCCACCTGGGGCGGCTTGAGTGGCTCTGTAAGAAGAGAGACTCAAGTCCACGCGTTGGACGCCCTGAGCCACCTCGGGGCTCTGGGAGAATCCCCGCAGAGAGCAGCCGCATGACCCTGGATCCCCCGCAGCCTCCAGAACCACGAGCTGCACAAACCTTTGGTACTCTGTAAGTCACCCAGCGGTGGCATTCAGTTACAGCAACAGAAAACGGACCAAGTGGAGCTCGAGAGCCTGGAGAGTGCCCCCTGCAGACCCAGTCCCGGCTTCCCCGCACGCCCCACCCCTCCTGAGGCAGGAGAGAGGGCTCCGACCCAGGGTCGCCCTGCCCAGCTGTGTGCTGAGGGCATCCCGGGTGCGGGAGGAAGCCTGGGCATGGGAGCCAAACTGAACTGACCAGGGCCTGGTCCACCTCAAACGGGCTGCGGGACCTTGTTCCCTTACTTACCCTCTGTGTGCCTCAGTTTCCCCTCCTACAAACAGTCTGGTGGTCCTCAACCARGAGGACCTCCCAGGGACCAAGTGGCAGTCTAGGGACACACATTTGTCATAACCTGTGGTGTGACTGGCACCCAGCAGGGGGAGGCCAGAGATGCCCCAGAACACAGGAGAGTACTCGGTCACCAAGCAGCGTCCAGCCCAGAATGTGAATCTGGCTGAGGTSGCACAGTCCCATCCGTCACGGAGCAACGTCACGTGATTATTCATAAAAAGCACTCAGTCCCCTGCACTTAGAGACTCGATGTCTGCTCCATCAACGTCAAGGAGAGGCTGCTCTGTATGCCGTGGGYGCTCAATAAACGCCCATTCCTTCCCTTCCTTGGCCTCACGCTGCTCCTTGGTGAGCTCCAGGCCAGCAGGGACAGCGGCCAGGAGCCTCGAGGTGCCCACTCCTCAAATTCCTGGGAGAGTGCATGCTGCCCCCCTAGACACCGTCTCCAGCCAGAACGCAGCCAATGGCACCGAGGTCACCTGGGGACGCGTCCAGGCCCCCGGGGAAACAGCCACTCGCACACCCTGCTCCCAGCTCAGCTCCGCCCCAGGCCGAGGACGCGTGCAKGTCCCCCGGCAACCCAGGACCCTGCGTCGGAGGAGACGCAGCCCCAGCCCTCCGCAGAGGTGAGGGACCGTGCAGGCCCGACGCCCACTCACCTCTTTTAAGGCAGCCATGATCTTGGATCTGAAGATGGCGAGGGCGCACAGTAGGGCCATGAGCCAGAAGACGAGCAGGAGGCCCGAGGACTGGACCCCCTTCCTCCTCTCGAGCTGGATCAGGAAGGTGGCGAGCAGCTGGGGAAAGGAGCAGAGAGGGAGCCGCTCAGGGAGGGCYGGACCCCAAGGCCCAGGGCCCGGTGGACCTCAGCCTGCGGGACGAGGCCTCCCGGGGCGAGCCGGCTCCAGCCCAGCTCCRCCTCACACCAGGTGTGACTCTGGGGTTTTCACTCCGTTGCTGGCTCTAGGCCYGCTGCCCCCACCCACACACAACTTAAACCCAGGGACACCAAATMGACCAATCGGCTTCTCCTTGAAAGAAGAGGACACTGTGGTCACCCCCTGGAGGGGTAGAGTGGCCCTRGGGAAGCAAGACCTCGATGCTGGGTCTCCAGATAGACTCAGGAGAGGCAGGGCACCCACAGCCGGCCCCTGCCCCCAGACGTGGGCTCAGAATGCCCTGTCCCCGCTCCTCCTGCCC